ACAAATCTGACGGCGATGAATTAGTACATATAGAAGATGAAATATCTCAACTATTTAGCGATAGTGACAACAATAACAATGAATGCAACTTTGAAAGTTTCCTAAGTGAAGAAGAGCCAGACGACTACAAAAATGAACTAATAGTACATGCAGAAAATATAGCGCCTCTAATGGTAGGTTTAACTACGGATGGCGCTAATGTTTTAACTGGACGGAGACAGTGTTCAGCAACAGCTAAAAAGTAGGTGCAACAATTTTTTCACTTACACACATTGTTTGTCGCACCGATTGCAGCTGGCTGGCACTGAAAGATGCAGCCATCACTTTAAAGGAACTCCAAATTCTGCAGCTATTTTGTGAGCAACTCTTCGTTTTTCATCGAAATTCTACTGTTATATCAGCGGTTTATTGTAACGCATGCAAAGTTTATGGTGTAAAAGGTATTTTAAGAATTAAGTCTTGTTATATTGATAATATCTTAACGTATTTTTACTTATTATTTTTAGGTAGTATTAAAAATCAAAATTTATATTAATTAATTTAGGCAATTTTATATTTATTTAATTTAGTATTTTAATTTTTAAGCCAAATGCAGTGTCATACGAGTTAATGGTACCAGATGGGTTGCGCATATGGTAAATGCGTTGAGAATCTTATCAATGGTCTAAAAGCGCATAGTAATAGTTATACCACTATCAGCTTGGAAAGCGACTACAGCGCAACACAGAAATCAAAGGCTAAGTTCTTTGCAAAGAAATTGGTTGATCAGCACTTCATGTCGACGGCGATCTATATTCTTGATGCGTGTAGAGCAATGACAATTTTTTCAGAGTAATAATTCACCACAAACAAAAGTTATAAGCTTTATAAATAAACAACAAAAAAAGTATATATATAATTAGGTGATATGTGAGTTTATTGTAATATATACTAATATTATTGTTATTAAACCTTTTAGAAGTATACCTGACGGGCATTTGTTTTTAAAAGTTACGATCTAAATGTATTTTAAATGTCTTTTAAACGTCTTTTAAAAATTAATGTATAATATTAAAACAAAGCGATAATTAACGTTTAATAATCAAAGTAAAATGTTACAAAAGATAACCACTTCGTTATAAATAGATTTTGTCGCGCTCTTTTTTGAACTAATTAATTTTGAACTAACTAAGTCTTGAATTTTCTTGAAAGAACAAATTTTCAAGAAAATATTTTCTTGAAAGAACAAATTCATTCGAATTTTATAATTATATTTTGTTGCTCTCATTCTTAGAGTTTTTTCAGAATTAGAAACTTTTTTTAAATTAATATTTCCTAAACTCGGTTATTATATTATAAGAAAAAATATATTTACTAAATCTGTATAATTTTTTTTTAAGCAGTGGTTGTTTTTATGTAATCGTTAGTTGTTACGTTTTGTCAGTTAATTACTGTTTGTAACTGTAACTTTGTATGTAATAACGATTGTTGTATGGAAAATTTTACTGATTTATTTAAATTATTTTAATTAGTATATTATTATTACTATTGTTAAAATAAAATGTTGTTATTATTATTATTTATTATTATTATTATTATTATAAATACTATCTTTATTATTATTACTATTTTAATCGTTATCATTAGGTTTTTACGTGAAGTTAGTAGTTTATACTATTTGTAAACAACCTTGAAATGTAAGACCAAATATTTCAGAAATATATATTGATATTGATTAACATTAATATTGATATTGATAAAATACATAATTTGTTGCTGTAAATTATATATTGAATTAACTACTAAATTTAAATATTTAATTACATATATAACTTAATTATATAGTATTTAATAAAAATACACTATTGCTTTTCAAATTAAAACGTTAATTTAACAAATAATAAATTGTTTACTTAGAAATTTAAGAATATACCAATAATAATATTTTTTATGTTTTTATTTAAAGGTAACACAAAAAATGTTTCAACGTATGAAGTGTTAAGTATGTTTTAACGTATGAAGTGTCTTCGCTCGAGCATGCCGTTTGCAATTTAGAAAGATTCGAAGAAAATCCAGACTCTGGTTTTTAATGGAAGAAGCGCTCGATATATGGAATTGTAAATTTGCATGAAGTGATAAAATATGAAGATAGAGTTTTTATTGCTTTTTGAAACTATGTTCAAATGTATCAGATGTCTTTGCTGAGGCAGACAAGTTGCTTAACACAGTTGAATGGACGGAGAGCGACTTTTTCACGGCTGAAAACAACAAAAAGTTACATAAAAACATGCTAGACAATAACATAAAAGCCCTAATTGACAACGATATGCTGCGTCAACAACTCGCATATATAAACGAGTAGATGTTGGAAATATTTTATCAGAGTGGATAATATTGAAGAAAATAATAGCAAGTTGGACAAGTGTAAGTTCAAAATCATTTCCACCGCTATCTTTGTTACAAATAGCGACTAATATCAAACCAGATAGATTCGCTAATTTTTTTTCTCTTATTGATTTTTTATTGTGCCATAGCTTAAGTTTGGCAGACGCGGAAAAAGGCTTTAGCGCAATGAAAAACGTCAATTCAAAAAACACAAGTCAGTAACAAGTTATTAACAATGCAATTGTGCATCAAGATTGATGGTCCAGAAATGGAAATATACAATCCAACAAAAGCCATTAAACACTGGCTTTTAAAGCGGTTGTCGCGTTAAATAAGTAGATCGTTAAATAAGTAGACAGTCAGTTCTGCGCAAGTTCTGTGATAAATCAGAATACTTTTGTTACTATTTATCTGCGTAGAATCAGGTAACAATTACAAATTTTAAAATTGATAGGCTTAAGGGATAAAGATAAATAATTTAACGTGAAACATTTTGCTAAAATGCACAGTTAAATTGTTTAGGAATATAATAAACTTTCTTGTGAGATGACTATTTTATTTGATATCATTAATGACCTAAAAAAAAACCTTTTTTTAAAAATATGTTACTTGTCATATTATACTATTAAGATAATACGACTAGGATATATGTCGTGAGTTAAATATTATTAAAAATGGTAAATTATCACTCTAAAAATGCCATAAAATAATAACAATTCGCATGACAAAGTAAATGCTTTTAGTTCAGTTAACGTATGTTTTTTTTTAATTTATTCGTCTGGGTTAACAAATAATGTCTTGATTGTTCAATTTATCTACTTATTTAACGATCTACTTAGGGTAAAGTGACCAAATTCCAGCCGCATCTATACAAAATTGTTTCTACAGACATATTAACAAAGAGGTCTATATGAAAATTATACATTTCTAGAAAGATAAATCTTTCAGCATTTAGGATATAATTACTACAATTATTATAAATAAAAAATGTTTGATAAAACAACGATTACAAAAAGTATATAAATTTGACCAAAATACAGCCACTATGACCAAATTTCAGCCAGGCGTATGCGGAATGAACCTAATTACAGCCAATATAAATAACAAGCTTTTTATAATACTTTTATGGGTTGGCATTTAAAATATTTTAAAATTAATTGAATTACTAAATATTGAACCAATAATTTTTTTGATGTGATCTTAAACATCAGTTAGAAAATGATTGCTTAACTTAATACTAAGCATTCCTCAACAAATAAACTTTGTAAGGATGCCTAAATCTAAAAAAAATAAGTTTTCAGGACATGATTTTAAAACTATTCAAAAATGATTTTGAAACTATTTTAAAAGATTTGCATAGAATATAACATTCACATTAAAAAAAAAAAAGAATTCAGTGAAGTCTATAAAAGACTATAAAAATTCATAAAAACATGATCAAATTACACATTGCTTTTTTATACTTTTATTGGTTCATTTTTATAGCAACGGTTTTTTTCTAGGATTATCTTTTGACAATACCGTTGCTTCCTTTATTTTTAAGTTTTGTAGTCTTTTCAATTTACGCATTTTTTTTTCCTTTTCATTTTGAGCTTGTTTTTGCTTCTGCTTTAACTGTGACTCATATGCTTCCTTAGAAGTAAGCACAAAAAACTTGTCTGCATTCTTAGCTTTTTTGCTCTTTGTAAAATTTGGATAAGAATATGGCAAAATGTCATTATCTCCATCTCCTGGATAAGATGAATTTTAAAAGGGGAAATTTATGGCAAAAGATCTAGTTTTTGCAAAATCAAAAGCTAAAAGAGTTGAAACTGTAAAATCAACTTCATGCTGATCAATAGGCTGTTCAATTTCAGAGTAAGACATAATCCTAAAGCTGTCTTGAAACTTACTAGTAGCTTTATTACTTGCAGCTTTTAGTTCTATAGTTTTCATATTTAGTTCCACTAAATCATCACTCCTATGTTCTACTACGGTTACTGGTTCAGCTAAATAGTCGTGATCATTTGCTACAGCAAATCTTGGGTTGGTAATTAGATGTTGTTCCAACTCAATATCTGGTAAAAGTACTTTTGTGCTGTCTGTTGTTTGCTTAATCTGCTTAACTATTGTTGTATTATCAACTGTTTTAATTTGATCAAAGAGATTAGTCATTAACCTGTCTTCAGAATACACATAGTTTGGCAAGTAAGCTTCAGCTGGAACAATTGAAGGATTATATGGAAAGATTCCACATGATTTAAAGCCAGATTCATTATTAGCTTTTGTCATACTTTTATTCCAGGCTTTGGTTAAAAGTCCTGTAAAATTGGCCTTGTTTATTATAACCCCAGGGTGATTAGACATCATATCCTGGGCTGCTTTATTATATGAAACTTTGAATGGCTTAAATACAGTTCGATCACAAGGTTGAAGCTAATTGCTTGTATGAGCAGGTAATTCAACAATTTCAATTCGGTTTTGTATGGCCATATCTATTAACTCTACGAAATTATGGGAATCGTGGCCATCTAAAATTAAAACTTGTGGAAGTTGTGGTCCAATGTTTTTTAAAAATGTAAGCTCAAACCATAGTTTTGCAATCCCTTGTTTAGTCCATCCAGATTCACTTGGACTCCAGTTGGTTCCTTCAGGGGCATCTAGAACTTGAAAACTTTGAAAGGATTTTACTGTCTTTCCTTTTGGAATCACATGAGGTGGTAAGGCTCTTCCTGCTGCATTCACACAAACAATTAAAGTAATCATTTCTCGATTTCCACTTGTTCTCATATGTAAATATTTTGTACCTTTTGCAGCAACTATTTTGTGCGCCTTAAAGTCTAGCTGCAGTCCTGTTTCATCCATGTTCCATATTACTTCAGGCTGACAGTCTTTAATGACTTCTTTAAGTGCAGTAAAATAATTTGCCACCTTTATCAGATTCATGCATTGATGACGAACTGATGCTGTTGATTCTGGTTGTCGAAGAGTTACTTTTTTGTTATGTTGATTGTTAAGTAGTCGCCACCATTTATTAGATGGTTTGCCATTCTTAAAAGAATATCCATATTTTTTGGCAAGCTTGCCAGCATATACCAAGAATTGTTCTTTTCCAAAACCAATGCCCATCCTAGCTCTGTTGTCTGCAAAATCGAGTAACTTTTTTTCAAGATCAAGCTGCTTTTGCACCAATCTCAACTTTTCCATTTATCCTGCTCTGCAAAGTTGCTCGGGGTACTTTAAAAAATTTAGCAGCAGCTCTAACAGACATTTTAGGTGAACTAATAACACTGTTTATAGCTTCAAGTAACACTTTCTCTTTATATTTCATATATTTACCTCGAGTTGGATGACATTGTTTCTTATTATAAATTTTATTTTTATTATCAGCCATTCTAAAATGAAAACTTTATATTATAAATTATTAAAATTTTCAATTAAAGATTATTTTTTAATATAATTTTATTTATAAGTAATAGTTTACATGAAACAATATAATATCTTTCAATTATTTAGACTTTTGTTTATTTTTAAGTCATCATCCTCAAATTTTAAAAATATTATATAAATATTTAACTAAATAAATGCAAATATTTAAGATTGATAACTTTTAGGACATAAATGTAACATAAAGTACTTATATTAAAAGAATAAAATTTAATAATATAAATATCATACAAGTATGAGTTACTTTTAGACACTCGTGAACCTAATTTCGGCCTTGGCCGGAATAAGGTTTATACCTGGCCGGATTTTGGTCTTTCTACCAGGTGCAATTAATTAAGAAATACAATCTATAGTAATGACTCAACATAATTATAAAGCTAAAATTGTCTTTTTAAGAAATATATTTATAGTTTAAAATAATTAACATTTCGTTAAGTAATAAATATTTAATATTTATAAGCTTCAAACTGGATGCTTACATGATATTTTAAATATAAAGTAGTACTTTTTTGAGATAAATATTTTTTATGATGTTACTTCTATTATAAACAGCCGCCAACTATAACAATGCTTTTTTTATTGGCTGAATTCATACCAGTCTCAAAAAAGTAGCATTTACAAACATAAAGCAGAAAACAAGACAGAAATAATAAATTTAAAATGTGGCTGGAATTTGGTCACTGGCTCGAATTTGGTCAGTTTACCCTATTTAACGTGACTTACTACGTTAAATAAGTATCCGTAAACTAATGCATGCGCAGAATATCATTTTGTCTACTTATTTAACAATCTACTTATTTAACGTGACACCGCCACGAAAAAATAAAACTGGCATCAATCAAAAAAGAAGAGTTGGTTACATGGACAACAAAACTCCAGTTGTGTCAGTTAAAAATTCAAAGAAAATAAAGATTTTTTCATGTAGCGATGATGACAGTGATAGAGCTGGAACAATTGATGACAATATATAATAATTTTGAATCTTGTTTATATTTTTATTTTGTATTGTTTTTTACCTTTCAAAATAAAAATAGTTTTTCTTGTAACAAATAAGATCGTAATAACTACAACACATTAAAAGCAAAGGGTTTTAAAGTATTTGTAAATTGTTTTATATTTTTCAAGAGTTTTTTGTTGTAAAGGAACATCTATTTTTTTATAAAATGAGCGCTCAAATAAAGTTTAAAAATATAATAGCATGTGTTTTATTTGAAAATAGAAAAGTGAATTTTATCAATAGTTTTCAATATTACTTTCATTCGCGCAAATTGTTTCTTGTGTACATTTAGCCATATAACAATAAATGACTAAAACAAGCTAGATTTTTTTTAAAAAATGGCAACGGGCGACTCAAAACGTGGGCGGGCGAGTTTTAGTTTCAGTCGCCCTTCTGGCGACTGACCAAAAGTCTGAGTGTACACCCCTGTATATATATACATATACATATATATATATATATATATATATATATATATATATATATATATATATATATATATATATATATATATATACATATACATATATACATATAAATATATATATATATATATATACATATATATATACATATATATATATACATATACATATATACATATAAATATATATATATATATATATATATACATATATATATACATATATATATACATATATACATATATACATATACATATATATATATATATATATATATATATATATATATATATATATATATATATATTATATATATATATATATGTATATATATATATATATATATATATTGGCCTCGGCGGGAAGAAATGAGTGCAAGACCGGTAAAAAGCTCTCCTAAAACAAACATGGCAAGCTATGCGAGCTGCTTCTTTAAATTCTTAAGATGAGCATTGTTTTTACTGTTTATAAAAAAAGTTTTATATTTTCTTATGGTAATAGAATGCAGGTATTTTAAGAACTATTAAAGACAATTATAAAAAAGGCTGCGTTTTTTACATTAGTTACAATAATATTTACACTTTGTGTGAAAAAATCATAGTTTTGCGAGAACCGTAAATAGCTCCCGTAAACCATTTTAAGGAGATGTGGGCGAGAGCTAAAGCTCTCGCTTCCTGCCAAGGCCTATATATATATAAATATATATTTTTTTATTTGTATATATGTATATATATATATATATATATATATATATTTTTATTTGTATATATGTATATATATATATATATATATATATATATATATATATATATATATATATATATATATATATATATATATATATATATATATAATTACGACCGTAATTACATGTATATATGTATATACAACATATAATTACGACGCTGTTAAAAGCAGTGTAGAGTAGCCCCTATTTGTATGTATTTATATATATATATATATATATATATATATATATATATATATATATATATATATATATATATATATATATATATATATATATATTATATATATATATATATATATATATATATATATATATATACATATATATATATATATATATATATATATATATATATATATATATATATATATATATATATATATATATATACATATATATATATATATATATATATATATATATATATATATATTTTATGCTTTTTTTGTATTCAAAAATAAGCAAGATTTTCTTGACAAAATTTTTAAAGTTAAAAAAATATGAAAACACTCTTACTAAGCTTTTTTTGGTATACACTTCTGGTTGTAGGAGTAACAGGACCAACATTTACTCCATGTAAAAGAAGCTCTCTTCTTAGTTCACTATCTGATAAAGTTGCAACATCTTCCATTTTTTTTATGTATATCTTTTATATATATCTATATAAAAACATATATATAAAATATATATGTGTATTAAATTATGTATGTATATACCTTGGGGCAGGTTATACTTACATCTTAGGGCATAATATTTTGGTAAATATATTTAAGCATATATACCTTGGTAAATATATAATCTTGATCTTTATGCCTTTGAGCAAGTGAGAATTCTTAGCTGTGCAGAGACAATATAACATCGCTGACTTGAGAATCTTTTAGGTTAGCAGTGAGGTCACCACTGCCAAATGATTCAAGGTTTATATATATATATATATATATATATATATATATATATATATATATATATATATATATATATATATATATATATATATATATATATATATGTATATGTATTTCTACTATAGTATATTTATATGCGCAATTGCTCACTTTTTTTGCTAGCCTAAATTAAGTGAGCGTTTTTTGAAAACGACAAGGGAAAACAAAGAATAATGAATGAAAAGGTTGCTGACCCATACCAAACCCTCAGTCGATGTAGCAGCACTCCACTGCAAGTCAGGCTATTTGTCAGTCGATGTATGGACTGAAGCCCTAGGCAGTAGGATATTTGACGTTAGGTGAGTATGACATCATCACGCTAACCTAACTCAGCAGTATAAGGTATAAAAAAAATATATATATAAATATATATATATATATATATATATATATATATATATATATATTATATATATATATATATATATATATATATATATATATATATATATATATATATATATATATATATATATATATTGTGCAGCATATTTAATATACTGAATAAATTTTAAATAAATTCAAATTCAAAAATATCTGAATTATTCAGTTATTTAACTTACAATTAAAAAATTCATTAATTTGTTTCCATTATTTAATTTTTAGATAATTATTTCACAGATATAGTAATAAGACAGAACAGTATTATTTGAAAAGAGTATTAGTTTTTTTCTCCTTCATTTAAAAATAAATTAGTCTAAAAAATAAAGTTTTTGATTTTGAAATATTAGACATTTTTTCCTATATTAGACATTTGAAACTTAATATTTTCAATATCTGAGATGATTTACTATATTCTTTAATTTAAAAATGACTTTTTTTTTTTTTTTTTTAATTTTTCTTATATAAAAATGACTTTTATTTAAAAATTGTCAGAATCTGAATCCAAAAGAACCAAAATATATGTCTAAAATTTCTTTTTAATTTTAAATAAACTTTTCTTAAAAAAGACACCTTGTTAGGGAGCTTTATTTAGTGTCTCAAGGAAACCTACAAGGTAAAAAGCCCTTTGACCTACATAACTAATATAATGAATGTAGGCCTTGTTAAGCTTAGACCCACGTCTATTACACTAACATGTTTTTTAGAATTTAATTTTTTTATCAAACAAGACTTCTTTTGTCTATGAGTCGTATATATTTATTAAACAGTTAATAAATAGCTATTTATTAACTGTTTGATAAATATATAGTTGTTACACGTTGTTGTTACACGTTTATCTTTTTAATTATTTTATAAATGTCTACAACTATTTCCACACTTCACAACAACAAAAATTTTAAATATGTAAATAATTTTAAAAAATATAATAGATTTTTTATAATAAGAACTATTAGTAAAACTAAAAGAATTAAAAAATAGCATTAAATATAGCATAGATCGAATACTTATATCGAAATCACAAAGACGCCCCTCAGAGAACTATAAATCGCCATAATGAGTAACGATTATTACGGCAATATGAACACCAACGAAACAGGACTTAATTTTAATTTTTTAACAACAAATTTGCTTGTTTTTTTTTTGTTTTTGTTTTTTTTTCAGCTTACAAAGTTAGTCGTTTTACAATACAATAAACTTTTAAAATTACTTTACAAATATATATATACAAATCGTGATATCAGTGTAAACTAGGTTTCCGAAAGAAGATCACTAAGATCTTATCATCGGAACCTTAAAAAAACAAACATTTATAAACAATATAATTTACGAATACTTGTAAAGTATACGTTACAGTAAAGTAAAATATATATATATATATATATATATATATATATATATATATATATATATATATATATATATATATATATATATATATATATATATATATATATATATATATATATATATATATATATATATATATATATATATATATATATATATATATATATATATATATATATATATATATAGAACTTTTAGATTAGCAAATCTTTAAATATAAATAGTTGTTAACAACAAAACTTTAGGGAAAAATAATAAAAAGTTAAATAATAGATAAATTAATTAATAGTACTCTAAAATGTTATCGAGGGAAAAAATTAGATTTTTAATTTTGTTTTTAAAAAGACAAAAAGAATTTGGTTGATCAAAATCAACATTAGGTAAAACAAGTTTATTCCATAGGTGCGGCGCACGATAGGCAAGACAAAATTGATTAAAATTTGTTTGACAAAAAGGTTCGTTAGAAATTTTTTTTCTTTTAAGAGTGTATTTGTTGCTGGGTTTTAAACTAAGAAAATCTTTAAAGACTGGGAGAGATAGATTGTTTTTCCACATATATACAAAGCATAAAATTTTTAAAACGTTGAGTTCAAATATATTTAAAATTTTCAACTCAATAAAATAAGGTTTACAATGAGAAAAACGATCAGCAAAGTTAATTATGCGAATTGCTCGTTTCTGACAGCGATAAAGACGAAGTAATTTACTTTTTTCAGTATTTCCCCAGGCAATATTAGCGTAGTTTATGTAACAGTGAATAAATGAGAAATAAAGTTGCCTTAAGTATTTCTTATTGAGATAAGTTCGAGCTTTGTACAAGACTCCAATGTTTTTAGAGACTTTAGTGCATATATAGTTAATATGTTGATTCCAGTTAATGTTCTCATCGAGATAAGCACCTAAAAATTTAATAACGGATTCTCTTTTTATTTCAATTTCATCAATAAAGATTGGAGGCAAGTTTAAGGGTAAAAATTTTTTTTTCCTATTTGTATGAAAAAGAGTCCATTTAGTTTTGTCAGTATTTAAAGTTAATTTGTTGGATTTGAACCAGTGGGATAAAAGTTTAAGTTCTTTATTCACTGTGGCAAAAAGTTCGCTAATATCTCTCTTAGAGAAGAATAAATTAGTATCATCAGCGAACATGCTGATGATAGCTCATCAGATTAGTTGCTTTATTTAAATCGTTTATATAAGTTAAAAAAAGGAGAGGTCCGAGGATTCTTCTTTTATATAAATTAAAATCTCTTTTTCATCATAGTCAGAAGAAATATTCATTCTTAAGACAATGCTTTTATATTAACAAAAACATGTTAACAAAAAAAAGTTTTCGAAAAAACGCAAACCTGGTAAGTTTAATCAAATGCGCTTAAAGTCATTATTAAAACGGATATATACGTTGTAAATATTCCTAAATATATAATCTATATACATATTATATAAAAATTTTTATGCTTCTTAATAGCATGATAGTATTTATATGTAAAACTGAAAATACGTCATTTACCAGGCCCGTAAAAAAAAATTTTTTAGGAGGGTGACAAATTTTTTACTGCAGCCCACTGTTTTTTTAAACAAAACTTGAAGGTCATTTTATAAAAATATTATAATTAAACACAAACTGTTCATAATTTTAAACATAATGTAAGTGATAAAAAATAAATAAACATCAAACATTTAGTCTCAATGATAAATATTCAATTATTTACAACAATTGTCAATTATTTGCACCTGCACGAACAGAAAAATATTTGGCTTCTTTTATTTATTTTATCATAGTAGCTTGTACCATACCTTTTCCTAAAACCGAGGTAATCTCATTTTGAACCTTAGCTGAAATATAACAAGCATTTTTTTAATTTTGGACAAAAAAAAACGCTGTTGCAATTCACTGTTAGAATCTCCCATTAAATAAAGCAGTGAAAGAAATTTACCAACATTTTCAAGTTAGTCTATATTTTCAAGCGTACCACGCAGACGTATACATTATTTTCCACAATAAATAACAGCTTTCATTATACATTTCAAAAATTGTGTACTGCATTTGATTCGTTTAGGAAGTTCTTTATTTAGTTGACTGTCAACTTTATTTTCAAATGTTGATTGAATAGTATATTTGTACAAGCAACGTTTGTGATAAACTCTATTTTTGTGATAATCTAATTTTTCGAATAATTAAAGCTTATTCCAATCATTAAAGGGATTGTTAACAAATGACCCCTTATCATTCTTTTAAAAACAAAGCACATGGCCGCAAAACAAACCTTGCTGTACAACAGAATAGCATGCCCAATTAACAATACCCCATCCATTTGATAGCGAACTTTTTGGTATAATATATTTTGTGATGTATTGAATTTTGATTTCAGGAGACATTTTTATTGTATTTTTCTCAATAGATCTTATGTTCATAGTAAAAGTAATGACATTTCCGGTGTCAAAAAAGTGAGTGTTCTCAATATCTGACATCATTTTCGAGCGTTCTTCGACTATTTGAATGTCGTTTTGTTGATGATTACTGATCGCAATAAAAGATATAGATAATAATTCGTCAGAGTTTTTTCTCGTGAAGTTTGTGAAAACTTTCTGAGTTTTCCGCAAATAAGTCAGAGGACGAGTTCTATCGAGGACCTACTCGTATTTTCATTTTGCGTCTGAGTGTCTTTTTTATAAAAATAAAATGCCAAATTCACACACTCTTTTGCAAAAGAATTTAACTATTTTAGTTTTTCAACAATAATTTTTGATTCATATTAAACTAAAAAATTTATAGGAATATAAAAATACATATAAGTAAACATTATAGCTGCGCTATATTCACTTTTTTTAAACCAGTTTTATTGGTTAACGTTAGAAAAAAACATCTTAAAAGTTTTTATACATTAATGATGCTACTACTTTTTTTATACATTAATGAAGAACACTACTTTTTATGAAAAAAAAAAAGCAAAATCGTATATTTAGTAAATTTTTGAAAACGGCCTATTTTTTCAAAAAGAGGGTGACAGCTAC